CCACTTTCCTGACACTGTGGTCCTCATGTTGTGGTGATCCCCAACCATGAAATTATTTGGTTGCTACTTCATAAACGCACTTTTGCTACTGTTATGGACCACAATATAAATATCTCATATGGAGGATATATGATATGTGACCCTCAAAGAGGCCATGATCCACGGGTTATGAACAGCTGACCTAGACAGACCACCCACCCAGAATTGTGCCATGGAGCTAGGTAGCAGAGAGGGTTAGGGATATGGTATGATCTGATAACATGCCACAAATTAAAAATTCCTTCTTCTTCAAGAAGATGTAAAAACCAAATTATCACAATTAGTATCTGATTCTTTAATGAAGAAACAGATGGTCCTCTTTACCATTGAGAATCTGAAAATTACAAGCTCTGTCCTGCACTCCATAGCAACAGACAAGGCTGAGACCCTTATATTGACCCTGACAAAGGCCATGCCAGTCAAGCACAGGCTCGGGGGAGTTAATGCTATTTTAGTGAATGTTGAAGGTCCTCCCAGCACGCTCTGAAATATAATCAAAATTGAATGCATTGCAACGGCTTGACTATGGTTCCTGATGAGTTAATAGGATTGGCAAGCGAATAAAAAGATGTGTGCTACTTGTAGGTCCAAAGTCACATACAAGAATACCTTACATGAAGAGCAATGAGCCTCTAGAGAGAGCACAGCACTCTATGAATCTAAATATTAAGATACCATTGTGCTCTAGCACCACTTCTTCAGGTTAGAGATGCAGTGAAGTTGGTTGGGTGCTTACGGAGCACTTAGATAAAATTTCCACAGACATCAAGAGAGAAGGGCTAGACAAAGCAATTTTCAAACTCTTCTTGTTTCTAATACTCAAAAGTTCATATTAGTGCGTATAAAACAGCCCAACTATAAACACAAGAAAGAAATAACTATGGACACATTTATCCCAAGGAAACCCAATTCATAAGGTTATCAAGGTCTTTTGTCACTAACTATGTTGTATTTAACAATGTTCTCTAAAACTATTTCCACTACATGGAATGGATACAATAGCATCAGATAACAGCACAGAAGAATGGAGAAGAAAACATTCTATCTGCATTCATCTCTCCTCACCTGCTTTGCCTTCATACACTTGGGACGAGCAATAAAAGCAGAGGAACTGTTTATGATACAGAAGTAATATATTTAAAAATCGTTTGTGGAATGCTTCCATCTTTGAATTTAATTTCAAACAAGTATCATAAAATATTAAAATACCAAAATTATGTGAAAGTCAAAGTTGTCTAGCTAAATAGTTAATGGGCATAATACTTTGGAAAAGTCAAAACCAGACACTGAAGAGATGACTCAGGGGAGAAGAGCTACTCTTCCAGAGGTCCTGGGTTCGATTCCCACCAGTAACACAGCATCTCACAGTTGTTTATAACTTCAGTTCTACGGGATCTGAGGGCCTCTTTTGTCCTTTACAGGCACTGCACACACATGATGCACAGACACACATGCAGGCAAAAACTCAAACGTTTGAAATAAAATAAATGTTCTTTAAAAGTTTAAAAATCTTATGGTAAGTAGGGGTGTGGCTATGAAGAAGCGCCTCCTTTATTTCACAGTGTGTGTGCATGTGTGCGTATGCACACAGACGTACACACGAGCATTTGCATGCACACATGCATGCATCCGTCCAATAGGTATAGAGCTATTATGCTCAGTCCTCTTACATTCTTTAATAAGCTCTTTTATTTTCGCTGGACTAGCAATCAGTAAAATGGAAATAACATCTGTTCTGTCTGCCTGAGAAAGCAACAGTAAAACTTATCTCTGGAAATTTAAAAACAAAACAATGAAATACAGGTGGTGAGTAAAAATATAAAGGACTGAGCCAATATGAAAGGTTCTAGCACAAGACCACCTACAATCAGTGCACTACAGATTCACTTGTCAAATACAAAAAAAAAAATAAGTTTGTAAATGGAAAGATTATGGAAAGATAAATCTACAAGACAAGACAATTCCAACTTCACAAACTTATCAAACCAAGGAGAAACATAGACAGATGGACAGACAAAAAACAGAATAACCTCAAAATCATCTCAGATAAACAATACCTTAGAAAGTTCAGATACTTCACTACCTATAGAGAACAGAAAGAAAACTTTCCTGCACCATCAAAGTTTGAGGTTTCATGGTGCTGGTTCTGCTTTAGTGTTTTCTTAGTTGTTCTTAAAGTGGAAGCCAGATGACAGGATAAACAATGCCCTTGGAAAAAAAACATAATGCATTCCAAAGAACTTTATAAAAAATACATGTACATGAAACAATATGCATTTGTAACACACACAGCACACAACACACACCTCAAAGTTCAAAGCTGGACACAGCAGTTATTTGAGAATGTAGGGGCCTCTAAAATGGTTGAGAAAATACAAATTCTTTAAAAATTCTTGGGGAATCAAAGGGCCTAAGGCTTAAAAAAAAAATACACTGCCTGGGAAAAGGCAAACCCACTGTGTGTCCAAGCCCTCTAGACAAAGGTTATTAGCACAGTATTCTATAAAAGAAAATTATAACATATGGGTAGAGCATAAATATAAGCTGATGTGGAAAACATGTGAGTGCCTTTCTGCTTTCCCCGCCAGAAGGAAAAAGTAAGAAAACAAACCCCAGAGATCACGGACATAATGCTAATGTGAGAAACAACGCACATGCTAACTTGAAAGCAGCAGTTTTTAGACAACTCCTCAAATGAGAGGCTCCTGAAATGAGGAGAGGAGAAGAGCGTAACTGAACTATGCAGCTTTAAGGTTCACGTTGCCTACGAACAACAGCCTTGGCATAGCACATCCCTAGACAGAACAGACAGTGAGGGACACCCCCTCTCAGAATTTCAGTTTCTTCCTGGATGCGGGTGGGAGCTACTTCACTGGCTTGTATGAAAAAGACAATCAAATGGCTGCAGAAGAATGGCGTGTGTGGTACAGACTACACGGTCAGTGAGTGGCGGGGGCCAAGCAGGAGGGATAGTACCTGTAGCAGTGCTGCATTGAGGTGACAGCACGTTTGTGAAGAAGAAAGTGATACCTTCTGCTTCAGGTTGCACCGAACATTGTGGGGAAAGTGGTACAAGCAGGATCCCAACAAGGCAACAAACGCAACAGGGTGGGTGGCAAGAGAAGACAAGTAGTTGTGGTGAACGTAATTCAGCTTATACCATCGTAAATCAGTGAAAAACCAGGGCAGAGGCAGGTCCATCACAAGGCAGGGGCATGGCAAGCCAGGGCACAATTAGAGGCTTGTCTTACTATGCCTCAGGACATTCAGAGTAAAGAGATACACGAATATATGTTTCTCCTCTCCTGATGGCCCCTGAATTTTCATGTACAAAGTAACCTTTGGGCATATAATCAATTCCCATACCTACTAAAGCTTCCTCATGACCTTTTTTCTGTTAAGCACTTTGTCTCTGTGCTCTTCTAATTAGTACAAAGTCCATTTGAATTCCCCAAATAGGAAAAGAACTAATGGTGCCCTTTAAATCACACAAAAGGAAGGGCTTAGAAAACCAACCAGGAAGCTAAGAAAACCAACCAGGAAGCCAACACATGGCTCTCCCTGCTCTTGAGCAAAGGTGAGCCCTAAAATCCCCAGAGGATAATGAGTCAGTGTAAACCAAAGACCTTAGCAAACTGCAAAAATACACTCTCTTACAAGGGCGATGATGCTTCGAGCCCAGGCACTGGGATCACGGAATACATGGACAGCTTGTACTTTTTCCAGAAAAGCATGCTCCTGACTTGGCAATGCCTTTTGTATGGAAGGAACACACAGAGATCCCGGAAGATCCACAACACCCAGAGAGTAGAGAGGCCTGGCCTTCCCATAGCCTCTAAGTCTGCAGTGTCCTTACACAAGCCAGACATCTGTGCCACGTTTCTGACAGGGGCCCCACAGCACTCGTAGGCCAATGGAGCAGGCAAACTGTTGGACTAGTGGGGTGGCTCCTGGGTAGTGGGAAAGACTTGGAGGGAACTAGAAGGAAGAGGCAACACCGCAGGGTATAACATAATGCCCTGCAATGCTGCTACAATAAAAACACAGAAGTATCTAAGAACACGGTGAAGAGGACTTTAGAGACAGATGGTCGCTCTTCAAAGGTTAGGCGCGGCAGGGAAGAGAGAAAGACACTGAATCTCTGTAGAGCACGTCTTTTGTTCTCGGTTGCACACAATCCTATACGTTGCTTTTAAGTTACTGCTTTGTGGGTGTGAAGGAGCTGGTGACGTTGACTGGTATAAACGCTGAGTCTCCTCTACCGCAGAGACTACGAGGGTCAAGCGCGCTGTGAGAGGGCACGTTACAGCCACACACTGCATGCTCAGCTCGTGTAGACATTCAAAACCCACTTGATGTAACATGGATCCATTGCTACTAAAACCCCTGGAACTAAGGCTTCCTCTGAGCCATCTGTGATTTCAACATACACGGGTGTCACAGACAGCTTTCTGGGGCAGAACCAGTGAGAGGCAACAGAGTTCCGGGGAGTTTGCAGGGAATTTTGTCCTGTGGCTTTCTCTTTGGACTAATTATTGCTTGGTGACATTTTGTCACTTGTCTGCTGGCAACAGTGGGAATCCCTTGGCTGGTAGACACATCCCCACAGGATAGGTTAGCATGAGGATAAGGCTACAGAAAGGCTCTGAGCTATACATGAAGTGACTTTGTCTTGTCTCTACCTGTTTTATAGTAATAAATAGCAATAGCTATCTATCACTAGATATTTTCCTATCTTATTAATATATTTATTATTAATTATATTTAATATATAATAATAATTATTAATATATTTCATCTCTGTTTCTAGAAGGTCATTGGTGTGAACAACTATGATGGCTAATTAGAAATGGACAGTTCATGGATTGCATTAAGTATACTGAGAAGCCCCCTTCCAATACAACCATAAGTGCAAATCACATCTTTTATTCTCATTTTCCACCCCAGTCACCAGAACTTACCCTCTCCTCCCGCCTGCTTGTATGGGTTGTATTTTGGCTTTGGAGCGACAACTGGAGCAAACTTCTTGGGTGGTTGTTGTGTCGACACTGAAATACTGGGGGTCCCAAAAGAATGGGTGGTCTCCATCCGTGCAGGAACGTGGCCGAGAGGCTCACCAGTGCTTTTGGGTGGCAGCCAAGATGGGTGAGACATTGTTGAAATCTGCAGTTAGGAAAACAGAAAAAACAGACAACACTGTGTTCAGTGTGGCTGGAGGGGCATATGCAAATGCGGCTGACCAAGAGCTAGAGTGGGCAAAGGGGCCAAAGGAGAGCGCTTTGCACGCCCACTTCAGCTTAAATTTATCCAGTACGCATTAGAGAAATCGTAAATGTTTATTTTGTTAACAGATACAAGGCAGCACACTTAAAAATGCCTTCTGTACAAATCCGGCTCAGCCCCACCGCCAACCCTAAGAGGCCCCTGGAAGGTGGACACAGAGGCACTGGTTGCCAAAATGTCTGGAACAAATACTGACATTTATTGGAGAAAGAATATTCAACACCAGCAATGTGACGGTGACCCCACAAATCAAAAGAAATGGCCCGTTAGCGGCTAACTAAGCTGGAAAATTATGGAAAAGTTAGTTTAACTCCACTAGGGATAACCAGCCCAGCCCAACCAGGGTTCTATCAGAGTGCCCACACTGTGTGAAGATAGCGCTGAGCTCTCACTCAGGATATGCCAATCACTCTTCCAGGCAGCCTGCCTGCTGGGAAAGTGTCTCACAGACTTGTTGAAGAGGGCTCTCCAGGCCTGATTGCAAGAGCTCTCCTGCACAGGGAGGCCGGAAGGTGCCCTGCACCCACTCCTAGCCCCAAATCTACCTAGTAATTTATTAATTGAACTGAATTAATTAAGAGGGCTACATGATAACCTCCAGATGTCTATAATGACAAGGCATGCAGGAAATGCAGGAACAAATGAAGGCCTCAGCATGTAGCACAGCAATCGAGAGAGAAGAAGGTGAGACACAGCATTGCCACTACAAGGAATTCACACGTGCCCACGCCGTGGACAAGCAGGTGATCTGAAATGCTTCTGCTGCATGGTCAAAATTATGGTTTAGAAATTCCAGGCCTCCTTAATTCACAGAGATTTTATGAAAAACAATAAAATAATACTGACAGCTTTATGGATATACCGTCAATTGCAATGAAACCTGGGGGAGGGGTCCATTCTTATGCAGTGACTTGAAAATGATAGATCATTTTACACAGAGGGAAACAAGTGTTCTGTCAAAAGATAGGAATAAGAGATGGATAACAAAGGGGAAGAAACTCAGGCTGCTAAAGCCAATGGTGACACTGGCTTCCCCTGGCATCAGAACCCTTCTTTTGCTTTTTGTACCTTGTGAATGTACATGGAGACATATACACTCGAGAACCATGAGCCTATGAAAAGTCAGGAACCATATTTTAGATTCCATTATTAGCAATAAGCCATGCCACAAAACCAACAGGGAACAATAATCAATAAATGCCTGTTTTACTCGGAGTTTTTAAGTCTAGCCGAGCATTTGGACTCATTCAAAGGGACTTAAGAACCAAAACTAAGCCTACTTCTATGGTTGGAGCAGCCAAAAAAAATTCTTTTTCTTATTAAGTCATTATTAACAGTACCATCTTTACTTTCAAGATGACTAATGTGAATATAAAACAGTAAATGAATGAAATCAAGGAAAGTTTCAAAGTTCTGATGCTCTACCCATATTTGTAGTATAGATTTTTAACTGTACATCCTTAAATGGATTAATAGCATCACTGCACCTTTGCTGTAAATCAAGAGTTTTTTCCAAAACAAACTCTTTTCAGTCCAAGCTAATACAGTGTGTAATGGTCTCTGAAACAAAGGTAAAAATCTGCAGAACAATTCTCTACCACTTACCAGCTACTGTATGTTGGGTTAACTAGCGATGCCACAGATATACTGGGATAAGTAACTGCTGGGACCCTATTCAGCGTAAAAATGTAAGAATCAACATGAAAGCCATAGTCATCTCTGCCCCGCTTAGTACTGCGAACTATCCTGATGATGTCTGCCTCCCCAAAGGAAGCACTTTGAGCCTGTCCTCCGGTGAGGGCCACATCTGTTTGGAGATGTGTCTTCTATGTGGCAATAGTGCCCCCGAGTTTACAGTGAACTCCTGTGCTGCTGACCCCATCTTCATTCCATTTCCTTCCAATCCCTGGCTACCAAGCCCGCTGTTTTTACATCGCCCAAACTCAGATGCTTGCCTGTGAATGACTCCTCCTAGAGGGGAGTAGCAACACAGTCTTTTTAATGGATTCCTCTAGTACTTTTTTCTAGGCATATACCCAAAATACGCTCAAGTATATAACAAGGACATTTGCTCAACCATGTTCTTAGCAGCTTTATTCATAATAGCCAGAATCTGGAAACGACCCAGACGTCCCTCAACTAAGGAATGGATACAGAAATTGTGGTACACTTACACAATGGAATACTTGTTGCATACTAACATTAGCTTGCTAAAAAGCAATTGATCAATCTTCATACCTGCTGCAGTGACCTGGAACGTCCTGGGTGGTCTCACTGTCCTATTATAAGATAGAGACCATATGAAAATAGTTTCTGCAGGAATGGTTAAATAACATACCTACCTCCCTGCAGTCACTCACAACTGTCCAGAACCTCTACCTCTCTATTACTGGCCATCAGCACAGTTCCTTTGCCTCTCTTAACTTGGTATGTAATGAATCATGTAGATGGATCTCCAGATACTGAAACATCTTCTCAGTCCTAGAAAAAAGGCATCCTAAGTCACAGTTGTCGTGTTTTGCTACACTGATGGGGAAAGTAAACTTTCATTTATAATTTGGCCACTGTGCACTGATGTTCTCTTGACCACTTCCCTTCTCATTCTCAGGCTTTCACTCAGAGGTTTTGAAGCCCAGTGCAGTCTCAATTAACTTAGTAATGACCCAACAATCTGATCGTTAAAGGTTTATCAAAACTCAGTGAAAATACTTCTAGATATGATACTTTATTTAATAACAGATCCTAAACCTATTTCTAATATCTTTCAGGTATTAGATGAGGTGACAGCATTTATACCTTATAGAAAATTCATCTTCTCCTCGTGATTTTAATCACTGTACCCATTCCCACAAGCTACCCCTCAGCTACAAATAATTTTTATCCCTAATGCATCACTTATGTCCTGGGAATTACTTCCAGCTAGCTCGTCAGAATGTAAGCCGTGCATTGAATCCTTTGTTCAGGTTGCATACCTGCTCAGCAGCAGCCGCGTCGCCCTGCTGTCACAGACTCCTCACACGACTGGCTGAGAGCACACGTCCCACAGTAAGCTCTCTAATATCTGAGAACAGCACTCCTTACCGTTGATAATGCCAAGGTCTACTTCATGATAAGAACTCAATAAAGTAGCTATTAATTTAAGGATCAGATAAACTTATATGCCTATCACCAGTTCTCTGGATGAATGAGATTCTCCTCCTTTATTCCAAAAGTCTAAAGTCTAGGGGAGTTCTATTTTCCTAAGTGTTATGAGGGGAGTAACACAGGAAAGATACGGAGAAATGCAAGGCTTTGTCAACAGGCTTGAAGAGGTGGCTCCAACCAGGACATAATGGCTATGAGGTTCTGAAATATAACAGGAGCGAGAACAATGTCAAGAATTAACAACATGGGGGCTGAGGAGATGGCTCAGCGGGTAAAGCACTCGCTATGCATATATAAGGACCTGAGTTCGAATCCACAGACCACACATACAAGCTGGACACAGTTGTACACATTTGTGATTCCAGTGCTACTACAGTGAGATGAGTGACAGGGACAACAGCCTCCCCAGAAGATCTAAGTCAGCTAGCCCTCACAGTGCAAACCAATGAAACTGCTTCCAAAACAAGGTGAAAAATTAAGACTGACACCCGGGGTTGTCCTCTGACCTAACCTAACACACACACACACACACACACACACACACACACACACACACACACATACACGCACACTCTCACCACAGATGGGGGGGGTGGAAAGAGAGACAATAGAGGGGAAAAGGAAAAATGGTGGAAGGAAGGAGGAAGTGGAGAAAGAGAAACAAATCAAAGCATTTGTGAAGGACAGAGGAAATTAGTCTCTGCAAGATGAATACAAGAACGTGATAAATGCAATGGTATCTAAGCTTCAGTTAAATCAGAGTAACTTTTAACAAGAAAAGATATGCATCTGCAAACTGAACATCTGTAAACATCGAAACAGCTCTTATGTTTTGTGGCTGCTTACTTTCTCTAATCCTTAAACTTGCTTTTGATAAAAGGATTTGAGGAATGGATGGACTAGCAAATGCCTGTCAGGACCCATTAGCTTCTCAGAGACAGGACCAGTTAAAACACGGAAATAGGCAGGATAAGAGTGGGCTTTGCAGTCCCTCCTGACCTTGGTCTTACTTCCTCTGCCTTGAGGTAGGTTTCACTCTAGGCTTATAACCATCTTGAAAGGAAGAAGTGAAAGAGAGGATCCTCCCCACTCTGAAAATGAAGCCAGAGCACCCACCGGAAGAGAGCAAACAACAGAAATGGCCCTGATCCCAGCAACATGCTGGCTGCTAAAGAGTTAGAGACACTGTGCCCTGTCCCTTCAGGGTCTGGGCTATATGCAAATCAAGTAGGAAGAACACACAGGGTTGCACTGATCGCCTTCTCTTCATCTCCCTGTCACCTCTCCCCAGCTATTATACGGGAAGAGCAAAGCCACAGACTGACAAGAAATAGCAGTGGCTGACTGAGGGCTGACTCTATGTGAAGCGATTGTTGTGATGCCCACAGTCGTCGCACCACTCTTCGGAAGTGCACCTCCATGACCCACATTTTAAAAATCAAGAACACAAGCCAGAGGCTATGTTTTTGAACATAAGCTCAGCAACAGAACAGTTGGCTAGGATCGGGAAGGCCTTGAATTCAATCCCTAGTGCCCCTAGCCTCCCCAAAAGTAAAGCTCTAAACGCTTGCACAAATTAATTAGGACATACACCCACCAATTTGGAAAGGTAACAAAGCTTCAATATGGATTCCTTTCTGCAGTCTTTGTCTTTCTGGAAAGAGGGGTTGGGGCTCTTAACCTCTCCACACCTACCTTTTGGAGCGTAGTGATTCTAATATATTCTTTTCTGTCAG